GGTGACTACACATTTGTTTCTGCCTAACATTATATATTCAACCTCAACCCTGTTGAAAATGTCTAATCCTATCACTCACTTTATACTTTGCCTGATCTCCTAATGTCTAAATTCATATCTGCTTTCATACATATTTTCCCCAGTTCATCATTGTGACTGACTCTTTACATGTGCTGACATTTACATTCACTCTGTTCTAACAGACTCCCTATTGCTAAAGATCTTTTGGTCCGAATTTCATACTCACTCTTTTTCCTAAACCTACTGACTATCTTCTTAATCCTACCTAGTATCCCTTTTTGACTGGATGTTCTCTTCTACATTGAATCATCCTAGGTACAAGGTCCTGTGCCATTGTATATGGATTTATCCAAGACAACTCTACAGAATGTAATTCAAAGCTAAGTATCCCAATCAAGGGCCCAATGCCCTTCTGGCCTTCAAATCTTACTTAGATATTATTTTTCATAAATATATTTCACCTCTATATTATTATAAATATCACAGGTTCCCAATACCATTCTTCATCCAGCAGAATGATTCCTAACCCAAATCAAACATGTTCTTAACCTTAAGCATAAACTCTTCCCTCAATCTAACTTTACACAAGAGCAAGAACAGAGTTGGTCTTACAATACAGGAATGTAGGGGATCTTCCACCTGCTGAGAACCTCAAAGGTCCATGCAGAATAGATCCCTGGAGAAGATCTAGGCAGCTAGGAAGGACCTGAGAGGGCCAACGTCATCTTCCGTGGCAAACAACCTGGTCAGGATGAAGAGATTTGTCTGAATGAGCCTCTTTCTTCTTAATGTAGACAAGATGGACCAAACCAGGTCTGTGTGGAGAGCTTTTCCTGGGTGCCTATGGTTGATATAACCATTCTAACTTGTGAATGTTTCACAGGAAGAAGGGGCAGCCTCCATCTCATGGGAACCTTGGAAGCAACAGTTAGGACAAAGTTGTTTCCAAGGCAGTGACCTCATTCAATTCCTGAAGGAAGTGACCTCACCACACTTCCTTGGTGATGGAACTCTCTGAACTTGAAATCCAGGAAGCCAGGCACCCAGAGGCAGTCCCAGTGTGCTCACTTGTTTGGATTTACCAAGGACAGAGTCAGTCTTTCTTGGTACCTACAGATGTGAGGATGGCCAATTGCCAGGAATGCTCTGAAGGGGATCTTTCCTGAGAAAGCAGGTAGTGGCTCACCCCTGGCTCCTGACAACTTCACAGAATTGGCCAAGGAGGCCAGATCTGAAACAGGATAGGCCATTTCAGGGGAACATAGTATGACCCACCAGTCAGAGGACACTGCGGATAGTCAGAGACCTCCTTGGAAGAAGGAGGTGGCTATGTTGGTGTGGGTGTGAGTTTTTGGCTTTGTCTCATGTTCTGAGAAGAGCTAGGAAAGGCGGTTTGTTTGGTTTGGAGTGGCCTGTTTGTAGCAAGTCTTTTGACAAGGAGAGTGTTGCTATGTATGTCTATCCCACTGTGTCCATGGTTGTAGACATTAGAAAAGAGAATGCATCAATGGATGTGTCCTGTCTAGTAGAACGATTCCAGCACTCATTTTGCCCAATTTATGTATGGACTGCGGCTTGCCTTATCCTTGGGCAACACCTACTATCTTCCTAAATTCCTGTTTTCTTCCTGAATACTGGCCACTTTTCAGGCTCATGGTTTTGTGTCCAAGATATGTACCACCTCCAAGCTTGGTGACATGGCCATGTACTGCATAGCTGAAAGAAATGGCGAGCATCTCAGAAAACTCAGATATCAGTGGGCCCAGTAAAATCTCAGTGGAGAAATCCTGCTTTGGACCATTTGCTTACCTATTGTTCTATTTCCCTGGATGTCAGCAAGGTCTTTGCCTCAGGACACCCCTTTGTGAAGCCTGAAGACAACAGTTTTCAAATGCAAATGAATGGGCATCACCTGTAGCTTTTTGCTTAATTGCTATGCAAAAGGATGTGTCTGAATTAGCCTCTTGGCCCTGTGTGAGGCTGTGGCTTAGATTGACAGCACCTGATGGATCTCAAGCAAAATCCCATATGTGCATCCAAAGCCAATATGGCAAAAAAGCAGTCATTGTGGATAAAGTCTCTCGCCTTCCTCTGTAAGGTTCCTGACCTCCATCAAGTGAGAATAGGGATCCTTTGGTTCAAATGAGTTTTTCAAAGCCCTGCAGAGGCTAGCCATTATGTGCTTGGGTTTTCTCATGACTCCAATTCACACCAAGAATCTATACCCCACCATCAGAAGGCCTCAAAGTGGAGAAGCTGAGCAGAATTAAAGGCAGGCCTATTTGATCACTCCTGGTTCAAAGGAAGGGTGTCCAGGCCACTCTGACATTAGGCAAATGAGGGCAAGGGAGCTTATTGTGGACACTGTCTTAGGCTGCGCCCCTTATGGAAACCTCCAGCCAGAGGTTATGAGGATTGTCTCTATGAAAGAAGATGAGGGCCTCGTGGCAGTATTTGGGTTTGAATTGTGGTCATTTCTGTGGCTGTGGAAAAGATGACTGGGTCCGCCTGGGCTTGAACTCTGCTGTGATTCCCCTTGGAGACTGAGTTCTGGAACGGACCTCAGAGAAGTATTGCCATGAATTGTGTTGGGATTTTCTGAGGCCACGCATGAGAGTCCCCCCTCAAAACTTAGATGGAAGCCCAGGATGACTTTCCACAGAACACTAAGAATCTCAGCCAGGATATAACATGATTTTATTCTTAAAGACCTGGCAGCTATAGTTGAGAGTCAAAACACACATGGACCTCACATTGTTGACCTAAGTGGACCTGGTTTCATGTGACGTTTTGGCAACTCTTTGGGAAGCCTTGTTTGTGAGAGTTCTCCAGAGCTTTCATTGAAATGATCTTCCTCACCATTTAATGGTTCCTGAATGAATGGAAACCCACAGTGCCTCCAAATTCATCCTTTAAAAATGGTTAGATAAATACCATGCAATCTTTGAAATTCCCATGACCAGGTGGCACTGGAGAAACTTCGGATGTCCTGTTGCTGATTATGAGTGTACCAGACAGGTGCCTTGATTGACTGGGTTGCATGAAAATGATGTAGAACAGGAATGCCAGTAAGTTGGGGCCTGCTTAGTAGTGGGCCTACAGCAGTGGTGTGCAGGTGTGTGATAAAACATCTGTGGTGGGGCCATGTGGATCTGCCATGGGCTTCTAAATGGCTTGTGACTGACATGGTGCAGCCAGCAGAACCTTATATGTAAAGGCATCTTGTTATATATAGAGGTTTCAGGGCAATGTTCAGAATCAGGTTGCTATGGTCAAGGGGCCAAGGTCTGTGGAACAGGAGCATTCTTGGTGCATTCTCCTAGGATCCTGACCCACCACACATGACAGAACTCCCTCCAGCACTGTGTCCCAGTTGAACTCCTTATATTTCATGAAGGAAATACCAAACTCCCAGTGTAGCAGCAAGAAACACCACGAAAAGTGGAGGATGACCAAATGGCTTCACAGTCCCCACGGGGAGACACTTAGCCCCCAGTGGCCACAGTTTACCTACAAAGAGAGAATTCAGCACTTCTGCCTCATGCTCATTGGAAAATCAGAAACCATGTCCTCCAGGTAACTTAGATGCAGACCTAGCTTTGATGGTCTCACTACAAAGGAAGCTAATGCTCCTGACAACAACATATATTTCAAGAGCCCAACCTCAGAGGCAGTTTTGCAAAAAGTCTTTACTCCAGCAGAGCTCCATGTTTGTGGAGTGTTTATCCTGTTCCTTACTTATGAAAATTCCTCTACCACCTCCAAAGTTGTGAACTCCTGAGTATATTTCATTCCATATATGTATTCAAAGATTTTCTAACTCTTCTTCTCAAATTGGGTGATACTTGGGGCGAGGGTAATTTCAAGGCATTGTTCTGGATGACAGTAGGAAGATTTTTGAGTAGCACATATTTGCATACACATTGGATTCATTTGCCTATTTTCCATTCCAAATACTGAATCCCTGACACTAACCCATACTCTACTACACTCTGACTATGAATCCTAATATGATGAAGAAGAATAACCCAAACAGAATAGAAATACAAGCAGTTCAGAGGAGGCATGCTGTGTAGTTGGACAGGCCTTTTACATTATAAAGGGTAGGTGTTATGAATCTACATGTAATAGTTTTCCATGTGTTTTTAAAGTTAACAAATATGTGAATTCGTGTCTCCCTTTCTCTGTAGCCTATTCAGCACATGTATTTTTACATGCACATAGAGAATTGTACCTCATTTCACAGCTACATTTTTGTGAGGTGGCTGACTTGGCAGATAAAAACTGTGAGAAGAGATCACTCCTCCTAAATGCTGTTGGAACTGAAAATCAACCTATGGGTAAGCTTCCTACTTGAACAACATGATACATAAATCCATGTTCAGTAAAATAAATATTTTTGGATCTGTGGATGATATATATTTCATGATGAATTTCAATTGGCATATATATTTCTACTTTTTAATGTGTCTGTGTGTCTGTTTTGTGTATATATATATACATATATATTATATATATATATATATGTATATATACACACACACTCTCCTGATTTTTCAAAATATAAAATATATGTTTCTTATTTTACACTCCCTAAATTCATGTTCATGTATGTGTATTTATAATCAACTTTTCACAAGATTATTCTCAAAAATATTCCTCCACCTGAAATACATATTTGTTTCCTAGTACTGAAAACTGACTTCAGTAAATGGTGCATAGAAATCCGAACATTTCTACAGTAAGTGACCCTGTTTAACATCAATGCAAGTAGACTCCTGTGGGACATGATGTGTATTTTGACATTCATTTTTATTCAGCATTGGTACATTACTATTTCTTCAGTTGACGCACATCATAGGATATATATTTCATCTTCAAGTTCAAAAATTTCTAGGCATTTGTTTCACTTTCAATCAAATCCTGCTTCAGAACACATGTATTCCTCCATGTTTCTGGACTGGTCTTTTCATGAGACTTCTTTCCAAACACATTATTTTGGATTTCCATAATCACTCTTGAAGCAAAACTCAAACACCATTCAGGGAAACCATAACACTAATATTAACATTAGATGTATAACTGGTTGGAATGAATGATCCTGTAACAGTATAAGATTTCCTATATATTTTCAGATATCAATTCAATCCATTATTTAAATTGGAACCATTTATATTCTTCATTCACAGTATGGTCTATTCATGCATTATCTCTATACTCATAGACCCAGGGTACACCTATTTGAAAACCCGAATGCTAATTTATACATCTTCAACATATTGCTCTCAAAAATGGTGGAAAAAATACTCATGTCACCTGATCTACATATACATTTTATCACAGTAATATTCTGGACACAAAATGCAAAGGGCGCACTTATGAATCTACCAAAGCCTAATGAAAAAGTGAGAATGGATTACTCAAAACATCCTTATCCAGGTTGCCCAATGCTCTCAAATGTCAATCCTAGTGGTGACTACACATTTGTTTCTGCCTAAGATTATATATTCAACCTCAACCCTGTTGAAAATGTCTAATCCTATCACTCACTTTGTACTTTGCCTGATTTCCTAATGTCTCTATTCATATCTGCTTTCCTACATATTTTCCCCAGTTCATCATTGTGACTGACTCTTACATGTGCTGACATTTAAATTCACTCTGTTCTAACAGACACACTAGTACTAAAGAACTTTTGGTCCAAATTTCATACTCACTCTTCTTCCTTAACCTACTGAAAATCTTCCTAATCATACCTAGTATCCCTTTTTGACTGGATGTTCTCTTCTACATTTAATCATCCAAAGAAGAAGGTCCTGTGCCATTGTATATGGATTTATCGGAGACATCTTTACAGAACGTAATTCAAAGCTAAGTATCCCAATCAAAGGCCCAATGCCCTTCTGGCCTTCAAATCTTAGATTTTTGTTTTCATACATACATTTCACCTCTATATTATTATAAATATCACAGGTTTCCACTACCATTTTTGATCCAGCAGAATGATTCCTAACCCAAATCGAACATGTTCTTAACCCCAAGCATACACTCTTCCCTAAATCTAACTTTAAGCAAGAGCAGAGACAGAGTTGGTCTTACAATACAGGAATGTAGGGGATCTTTCACCTGCTGAAAACCTCAAAGGTCCATGCAGAAATGATCCCAGGAGAAGATGTAGGCAGCTAGGAAGTACCTGAGAGAGCCAAAGTCATGTTCCGTGGCAAACAACCTGGTCAGGATGAAGGGATGTGTCTGAATGAGCCTCTCTCTTCTTAATGTAGACAAGATTGACCAAACCAGGCCTGTGTGGAGAGCTTCTCCTGGGTGCCTATGGTTGATATACCATTCTAACTTGTGAAAGTGTCACAGGTAGCAGGGGCAGCATCCATCTCATGGGACCCTTGGAAGCAACAGTTAGGACAAAGTGGTTTCCAAGGCAGTGACCTCATTCAGTTCCTGAAAAAAGTGACCTCACCACACTTCCTTGGTGATGGAACTCTCTGAACTTGGGATCCAGGAAGCCAGGCACCCAGAGGCAGTCCCAGTGACAGTCCCAGTAGGCTCACTTGTTTGGATTTACCAAAGACAGAGTCAGTCTTTCTTGGTACCTACATATGTGATGATGGCCAATTGCCAGGAAAGCTCTGAAGGGGGTCTTTCCTGAGAAAGCAGGTAGTGGCTCACCCCTGGCTCCTGACAACTTCAGAGAATTGGCCAAGTAGGCCAGATCTGAGAGAGGACAGGCCATTTCGAAAGAACATAGTATGGCCCACAAGTCAGAGGACACTGCAGGTAGTCACAGACCTCCTGAGGGGAAAAAGGTGGCTTTGTGGGTGTGGGTGTGAGTTTGTGGTTTTGTCTCATGTTCTGAGAAGAGCTAGGAAACGCGGTTGGTTTGGTTTGGAGTGCACTGTTTCTAGCAAGTCTTTTGACAAGGCGAGTGTTGCTATTCCTGTGTATCCCCCTGTGTTCGTTATTGTAGACATTAGAAAAAAGAATGCATCAATGGATGTGTCTTGTCTAGTAGAAAGCTTCCAGCATTCATTTTGCCCAATTTAAGAATGGACTGCGGCTTGCCTTATCCATGGGCAACACCTACTATCTTCCTAAATTCCTGTTTTCTTCCTGAATTCTGGCCACTCTTCAGAATAGGCTCATGGTTTTGTGTCCAAAATATGTACCACCTTTGAGCTTGGAAACATGGCCATGTACTGAATAGCTGAAAGGAATGGCGAGCATTTCAAAAAACTCAGATATCAGTGGGCCCAGAAAAGTCTCAGTGGAGAAGCCCTGCTTTGAGCCTTTTGCTTACCTATTGTTCTGGTTCCCTGGATGTCAGCAAGGTCTTTGCCTCAGGACACCCCTTTGTGAAGCCTGAAGAAAACAGTTTTCCAATGAAAATGAATGGGCATCACCTGTGGCTCTTTACTTAATTGCTTTGCAAAGAAATGTGTCTGAATCAGCCTCTTGGCCCTGTGTGAGGCTGTGGCTTAGATTGTCAGCACCTGATGGATCTCAGGAAAGATCCCATATGTGCATCCAAAGCCAATATGTCAAAAAAGCAGTCATTGTGGATCAAGTCTCTCGCCTTCCTCTGTAAGGTTCCTGACCTCCATCAAGTGAGAATAGGAATCCTTTGGGTCAAATGAGTTTTTCAAAGCTCTGCAGAGGCTAGTCATTATGTGCTTGGGTTTTCTCATGACTCCAATTCACACCAAGAATCTATACCCCACCATCAGCAGGCCTCAAAGTGGTGAAGCTAAGCAGTATTAAAGGCAGGCCTATTTGATCACTCCTGGTTGAAAGGAAGAATGTCCAGGCCACCCTGACATTAGGCAAATGAGGGGTAAGGGAGCTTTTTGTGGACACTGTCTTACGCTGCGTTTCTCATGGAAATTTCCAGCCACAGGTCATGAGGATTGTCTCTATGAAAGAATATGAGGGCCTTGTAGCAGTGTTTTAAATTGAATAGTGGTAATTTGTGTGGCTGTGAAAGAGATGCCTGGGTCCCCCTGGGCTTGAACTCTGGTGTGATTCCCCTTGGAAACTGAGTTCTGGAACTGATCTCAGAAAAGTATTGCCATAAATTGTGTTGGGGTTTTCCGAGGCCACGCATGAGAGTCCCCCCTGGAAATTGAGATCGAAGCCCAGGGTGACTTTCCACAGAACACTGAGAATCTCAGCCAAGATATCACATGATTTTATTCTTCAAGACCTG